AGAGAGAGAGAGAGAGAGAGAGAGAGAGAGAGAGAGAGAGAAGTGGAGTTACTCCGTTTGTCTTTGGTGTGTGTGTGTGTGTGTAAGAGAGAGAGAGAGAGAGAGAGAGAGAGAGAGAGAGAGACGCTGATATATTGGTGGGTGCGTTGTGTGGAATTGCAGGCATATTGTTTGTATCGCAACAACAGATTTCAGGAGGCGCTGGATGTGATCAGATCATGGAAAGGTGTAGACGGTGTGGATGGTGGGGACAAAGCGGCTGCGGCAGCGGCTCAACAGTTACAATTGGGCATGTTGCAGCTCGAGGGCCAAATTCTTTTCCGCATGGGTGATAATGCTGCCTGCATCACGAAATACGAGGAACTCATGCAGCGCTCTAAGCTCTCTGGGTCGTCCCTGTCATCAATTGACTTGAAGACAAACATTGTGGCGGCTTATGTGGCAGCTGGCCGTTCGAATGAGGTGTCTAAACTCATAGAGACTTTGAAAGTAGCTCCCAAAGACAGTTTCGATCTTGCGTTCAATGTGGCTTGTGCGGCCATAGAGAGGGGGGACTATGCTGGCGCTGAGGCAATGCTGCTGTTGGCTCTCAGGTGTGTGAGCTGTTTTCATCCCCCTTAATTTCATCTTGCTCGGTTTCTTTCTTATGTCGTCTCTTCTGCTTCCTTCCCCTCCTCCCTCCCCCCCGCCCTCTCTCTCTCCTTTGTTTTGTTCTTCTCTCTTTCCTGTTCGCTCCTTTCTCTCCTCTCACAGTCGTCCTGTCTCCTTTCTCTCTCCCTCTCTCCCTCTCTCCCTCTCTCCCTCTCTCCCTCTCCCTCTCCCTCTCTCCCTCTCTCCCTCCCTCCCTCTCTCCCTCTCTCCCTTTCGCTGTCTCCCTGGCTCCCTTTCTCTGTGTGTCTGCGTACTTCTTGCTGTCATGCGGTCTTTCTGTCTCTTTTCTCCTGTACGCTTGAAAACGAAACGAGTGCATATGCCCACGGAAAGTGGCAGCATACACTCGTTACTATTTATAGCAAACGGATGAACCTGGCCATTTTCTGCGGGAAGATCCACTCGTTTCGTTTTTCATTTCGTGTGCCGTGCGGCGAGGCCCAGGGTTGAAACGGCAGGGCGAGTCGGTGCTGATATGGACGTCAACTTCTGCTTGTCTGAGTGTTTGAAGAGTAGTTTTGAATGAGATGAATGTACTCTTTAGCAGTTCAGTTCCGATCAAGGCGGTCAGTTGCTTGAATGTCCCCTTAGCCGTCATGGCTGTCTATGTCAGCGTCTCCACTGATCGGCAGAGTCTGTATCGGGTCTATTCCTGCGAATGCCATGCAGAATGTACTCTTTGGCAGTTCTGATCTGATGAAGGAAGTCAGTTGCTTGGTTGATTCCCTACCAGTCGTGGCTGTCTATGTATAAGCATCCTCGACGATCGGGAAGGTCTGTATGAGGGAGGGCTATTCGTGTAACGGATGTTTTTACCAATTTGTGGAATTTCTTTTCGCTGTAGGGTAGGGCGCGAGACATTTATCGAAGACGAACTGAATGATGAGGAGATTGATGAGGAGCTTGCGCCAGTCTCTGTCCAACTTGCCTATGTGCAGCAGGTATGTGCTGATATTTCGTCAATAAGAAACGCCCCCTTGTTTCCCTCCTGCCTTGACGTCATACATTTGTTTGGAGCTGAGCTGTTCTGAATGCATCTTTCGTTCTTGAGCGTCGTCCATGGTTTCTCTTCTGCCAACGGGTATCAACGGCCTTGTGTCAGAGGACCCGTAAGCTTCCCTTTGTAAGCAATCGCTGACCTCAGGATCTCCATATGCCCCTGTTTGTGTTCCCCCTCTATTGTGGATCCGCCACTGGTGCTATGTTGTGCTAAGGGAGCACGAACCTGGTCATAAGAATGGCCAGGTCGTGCTCTCTTAAAAAAAAAAAAAAAAAAAAAAAAAAAACATCGCATCATCCTTCTTGGACTGTTGCCGTCAACTATTTACCGGAACCTACAGTTAATTATGCTCATCTGCCAAGGTGGGACCCTCGTTTTTGTCTAATTACCACCCCAGGTTGTGGCTCCCCTTCGATTTCCCCCAGATATGGAATGAGAACCCTCGTTTTTGTTATGAACCTTACTGGAGGTCCCCCCTTCCCCCAAATTAATTTTCCCTGTGGTACTTTTGTTCCCAATTGATTGCTGGGATTGCAATTAACACTGCCCTCCCCCCCTCCCCAGCCCCCTCTTTTTTTCCCACCTCCTTTCTCCCCCTTGTTGCACTCCCAACCACTACAAGAAAACGGAGCAATTGCCGGGTCGTCAATTAATAGCTTTGAATGCTGAATTTGCATTGCCAGTTTCATGACATACCTGTTCCTACGTTCCCCTTAGCCCCAATTGGTTGACCTTGCTTCCCTCGGTCGGTTATCCGTTGTATTGATTGTCAAGGGTCCCTCCCTCGACAATAGGAGGCAAGTGTTTGGAGTGGGGCCAGGGGCGAGCCAGCGGCTGTCTCCTGCTGGATTTGTGGCTCCTCTAATAACTCCTTTCTGCAAGCAGCTTGTGAAATCAGGCCGTGTCGTCGAATGATTGTGCTCAATTTTGTTCTGAAATGCAACAAAATACCTCTTGAGCTTAAGGGACACAGGACAAGTCGACTGTCCTCGAAGTTTTTTTCGAGCTCTTTGTTCTTGGAGTGTTCATGCTTTAAGGTAATCCGGGCTGCATGGAACTCCAGGGGAAGGAGAAGGGGAGATAAGGACGGTGTTGTGTCCTGTTCTCTTACTGGTGTTGCTGGATGCTATGACCTTGTGGTGTGTTCATCCTATGCAAATGTACGTTGGACGGGTTGTGGTTTTTAGAGGAAGAGGCCTTGTGGATCAGCAGGTTGCGAGTTCAAACCCTTATCCGTTGTGGAACCCTGACAAACCTCTCAGTCGCCCCCTGCTCCCCCCGTCCCTCTTTCGCCCAAAAAGGCCGAGAAAGAAAAGGAAAATACTTTTTTTTTCCACTCACCAGTGGGATACATAGATGTCAAAAGAATAGTACGTGAATGCCATTGTATGGCCCTTTCTGAAATGTAGCTTCTCCTGGCTGCCTCCGTGATTGCGTTGGTGGTATCATGTGTCTTGTTCTCTCTCTCTCTCTCTCTCTCTCTCTCTCTCTCTCTCTCTCTCTCTCTCTCTCCCCCTTTGTGGTCTCTCTCTCTCTCTGTCCCTTTGTGGTCTGCATGTTGCCTTCTCTCCACCCTTGAGCAGTGCCAAGGCCGTGTGACAGAAGCCATGGAGGGGTACAGTGCTCTTTTGAAACGGAAGTTTGCAGATCCTCCGTCGATGGCTGTGGCATCAAACAACCTGATTGCACTGCGTGGGCCCAGAGAATTATTCGATTCCCTGAAGAAGTCTGACAAGATTCTTGAAAAGACACCAGATCGGAAACTGCGATTCACTGAGGGGTTGGAGCCCAAGTTGTCACCCAGGCAAAAAGAGGCCATAAGCTTCAACAAAGTCCTTCTTTTGCTCCATTCCAACAAACTGGACCAGGTGCGTTTGTTTGTTAATTTCATTCTTTGACACGACATGTTTTCTTGTTTACGGATGCTTAATCTCAACTCTGATTTTTTGAACTGTGTCGGTTGCATGAACTGTGTGCGCTCCAGTCTTTAGGATTGGGCAGACCGCACATATTTAGGCTTGGACCATAATGGATTGCCATCAGGCATGGGGTGATTAGAGGATGAAGGTCAAGGCTGCCGTAGGAGTTCTCTGTTCAAGTCGAGGGGTCATAAGGTTGTGTTCATGGCCGGTGCTTCGATTGAAGGATGTAAGCAGGTCTCGAGGTATTGCTGGACGAAGGGCTGTAAAGTAATAGGTTTGTCGTGATAGGACTTGAGATTTCTCAGGACATATGTTGTGATAGAACTGCCCATACTCTATACAAGGACTTAAGAATTTGAAAACACAGTTCTTTTCTTTCAGATTGCAAAAGGGTGTGGGTTAAGTCTATGTACGACATTAGAGTGATTTTTAGTTTTGTAGAGGCAGTTCCATTCATTTTCCTTGCCGTCTGTCTTCCCCGAGAAAGTCATAATCGGATATCGAGACCTTCTTGCTCTTCACCCTTCGTTCCTTACAGGTTTCCATTTTGGTTTCTGTGATTTGAACTTCTTATCTCATATGCAGTGCTGACAGTCTGTCTTCGCATCTAATTTTCATAATCTGCCGGTGCTCACAGGACTGAGCCTTTCTATCATGGCTGTGCACTGTCTACCAGTTCAGAGATCCAACTGATTCATAAAAACTCCATATCTATCCATGACACCAAAGCTCATTGCAAGATGAACCGATAACGAAAGGTGCATATGGCAGCATAAAGCGTTGAGACATCCTGAACTTGATACGTTGGAGAACCTATTCTCTCTCGAACGCTGAGGTGGGAGCATCCTCTGGTCCAAGAAAGCTCTGCAGTGCTACCATTGTGGAGGTGATTTGTGCGAGGGGGGGGTGGTTTTGTGTGCAAAGTGCTACGTCATCGGCAGAGTATGTCATGTTTGGCCGGGGCCTCTAGGAAAACAAAAACAGATTCTGTGTAGATGTGCCCATTGGAAACAGAGAGGGGGGGGCACAGGGGGGGGGGGGGGAGGGAACAGAGAAAGGATGTTGCTTGTATTTTGTCTCATTTAGAGGCCTCTGTGAATGCTTTCCTTTTTTTTTTTCCCGTCGTTTTACTTTCCAATTCTCATTGGCTGCTGTTTTGCTCCTTTTTCTCTTCCCCCTCTCTGTGTCTGGTCCTCCTCCTCTGGACATCCTGCGCTGCTCCTCTTCTCTTTTCCTCTGGACCGTTGTTTTCGTTCTTTCTGCCAGGGTCTCCTCATAATCAGTTCTATTCTCTTCTGCAGGCTCGAGAGCTTCTGAGTTCTTTGACAGAAGCTTTTCCATCAAGTTTTATCCCGGCTTTACTCGATGCGTCCCTGCTGATCAAGGAGAACAAGATTGAAGATGTTGAAGATGTTCTTGCGGTAGGCCCGTCTCTACCGGCCCTGGGTTGACCATGTACTGCGTATACTGTTCACGCTTTTTCTTTCACTTGTGTTCCTAAAAGGAGTAAAAGTTATCTAGTTTGAATTATGTGGCCATGTGAAGTCTTGTGTTTTTTGGGCTACCTGGAGGACATTGCAAATCACCAACCTGTGCAAGCTTGCATGAATTCAGGTCGATGCGATGCGTGCCACATCCCCGCAGTTTTGCTCTTGTAATCCTGACAATCTCTTGTGGAGTTTTGAGGAAATGCATCTGATGATCAGTTATGCCTTCTGCATCTGGTCGTATTCCTGGGTAGAGCGGGTCGGTGTCAAGACCACTGTTGTTACTTGCATTAATGGAGAGCTGTTGCATGCACAGCATTTGAAGTTGCTTTTCAATAATTTCAACTGTGCGAGGGGTAGAGCTTTGTTTCTGTGGGAGGGCATATGCTTCTGTCTTCCTGTGATGTTTAAAAGCTATAATTTTATGCATGCACAGGGCTCACCAGTGGAGACTTGGTTGGATTGTTTCTCTGCTGTAATGAACAAACAGGCGTATGTGGTAAAGAACCCAGCGAATGCTGATGCAGCAAACCTTGTGCGGGCTCAAGTAAATGTAGTGATTGGGAACTACCAGAAGGCAGCAGCTGCACTTGCAGCGATTGAGTCCATGAAGCATAAGCTGGGGATGACCGCCACCCTTGTGGCGTTGAAAGAACGGGCTGGTGACATCGATGGTGCTGAAGAGGTTCTGGATTCTGCACTCAACTGGTGGTCGTCTCTCAAGGTAGACATTTGTGAGCCTCCTCAGCCCATCTGCTTGAATAGTGTGGAAAGGGATTTTTGAAGTGGTTCTTGTCGACCATATGCTTGAATATTGTGAGCCCCCTCAGCCCATCTGCTTGAATAGTGCGAGCCCCCTCAGCCCATCTGCAACAAGAAGTTCGGAGTGGGAGGGAGAACAAGGAGAGAGAGAGAGAGAGAGAGAGAGAGAGAGAGAGAGAGAGAGAGAGAGAGAGAGAGAGAGAGAGAG